TTTTAAGTAATTGTGAAGATATCTTCCTTTAAATGTTGAAGATTTAGTTTCATCTTTTCTTAAAATATTGATTAATTTAGGAAAATCTAGTAATTTAAAAAAAATCTATAAATTATCTCTTAATTTAATGAAAATATCTTGAAGATTTATTAATTTAATAAAGATCCTTAGATTCCTTAAAAAAGTAAATTCATCTATGATCTTGTGATAAATGTTTAAAATTCTTCCATGATCTCTCTTGATTTTTTTCCATATGTGAATATACCTTTTTAGGAAGATATGACCTTGGTTTGTAAACTTGAAAAGATATGATCTTGATTCTTCCTTAATAGATGTCCAAAATTCTTTATATGGTTTCCTTTTTGCCACTTGAGAAAGATATGAAGAAGAAAATGAAACTTTCCTTCTAGAGACAAAAATATCTCTTGAGTGGGAAAAAATCTCTCATGGATGAAGAGAAATTTCTCATGAGCTTTCAACTTCTTTAACGGTTGTTTTCTTTCTTGACTTGGTTGGTTGGTTGAGTAGCCCAAATCATCCGTGCTCACATCAGAAACTCTGAAGATACTAGGAACCTATCAATCCTAGAACATGATGATCTACTTCTCTGGTTGCTCCAAGTCCATTTGCCTCCCATTAAAGGCAAGTCCACCAAGTCCATCTTGTCAATTGTTTTTCTGAATTACTGGGCACACGAATTCAAAAATTGATTTGTAGCTCTTTCATTGCATCTCAACACTATGTTGATGTCCCCTCAAACAACCCATTCTCTCCCCCTTCTCTAACATTCCTCCAACTACCTCCAAAGAGAATCTCTCACAGCACAAACCCCTACAATACACTCCAAAAGAACCCATTCCTCCCCACCCTCATTATTGACAAAGAGACAAGATATTGTGGTCTCACCTAAAGCACCTCCCTACAGTCGACTTTCTCCTTTCTCCACAAAACAACAATACCACCAGTCGTCCCCTTGGTTAGCAAGACGTGCCACCCTACTTCTTTCAATCTCCACAAACGTCTAATCTCTTTTTCATTAAGTGCCTCCACTTTAGATTCTTGGAGACATACTATATGGTTTCCACCTGTTCATACACCCTCTAATCACATGTCTTTTCTTCCAATCATTAATCCCCCTAACATTCCACGATGTGATTTTCTTGATCATCTACTCTTCTTGCCCACTTCTGCTTGCCTTCTTGTTTTGTTTCCTTTTGCAATCATAATTTATGGTTGATTACAATCTTTATAGCTTCCTCTCTCCTCCCTCCCCTTGCTTTCTCTTCTCTCTTACAATAAACTCGTCCCCTTTCTTCTCCCTCCTCTTTTCAATTTCCGTGAATAGGTCTAGTTTTTGGTCTTCAAAACCTTCATATGTGACCCCAAACATTTTGTTAATCCACTAGATATTTCTCAAAACCAAACCAAATTGCATTGCTCTCTGTCTGCTCATTCTTCAACTTCTCTTATAGACACCAGCTAGTTTAGTAACTAGTGGGTCACTCGAGATTAGTGCCCTAAATTCTGCCTCCTCAACAACCACAAACTCCAAACAATTCCTCATTTTAAAATCATGCTCCTCTTTTCTCATTGCCCCTACCAACATCTCTTCTTCCCTATCATCCTCCCTCACTTCTAGAGCCAAGCCTTCCTTCACCCTCGCATCTCCCTCCTCTTTTCCTTCTCAGCTTCAAATTTTTCCTCCCCCCCTTCATCCTCCTCTACATCTCGCCCTCCCTCTCCAATTTTTTCCTTTCCTTTTGAACGCTCAAAGTGGGTCGAGTCCCTTTACACAGGCCTTCAAACCCATTTAAACTTTGGGCTCCTTCTCCGCCTAACTTCCTTACTCGGCCAGCATGCTCCATCCATTTTTCTTTTTCCTCCCATGTGAATTTGCATCTTCTTAACGACCCATTCTTCCTCATCCGCCCGATTTTATTAAAGCCAAGCCCACTTAATCCTCTTCTCCCAAAACAACTCAAAATTCTTGTGTTTCGAGAAAAGCCCTACTTACCCCCCCTTTCTCCGATTTTGAATTTCAAAATTGACTCGATTCGAATTCATTTTGGGTCATGTCTGCCCTACCCACCTCTCCTCTTCTCCCCCAGGTTGAATTGCCTTCACGTATGTTCTCCCTTTCATTGGCTTCAAAAAAATCTGAATACTCGACCTACAATGTCGGCAACAAAATCAAGCTTGGTGATCAGGAGCCATCATCTCCACCCTTTTCACCTCATTCTCTCTTTTTATCACCTCTTTTTGCCTTTTTTCCAAATTCACCAAGGTCAATCTGCCAGGTCAAAAACAAATCTCATCATCTTCCACCACCCCCTTGCTTCCACCCCTTCTGAAATGAATATGCATTTGACCGCCTTCCCTCTTTCATTTACTCAACACCAGATATCTCCCCCTCAACGCCACCTAGAGATTGTGATTTCTTCCCTCCATATTCTTCCCCCTAGTCTTCCCTCCCTTTCTCCAGTAAAACTCCTCCAAGGCATCCATTAACCACCTCACTTCCCTCTCCTCCAAAGAGATAGAAACTATAAACCCCCTTCTATTCTTGTTAATCCTCAATCTGTCCATGTTCTTCCCTTCGTACACCACATCAAAAGACTTTCTATCAATCATTACAAATTTCCTTCTCTGCCCCGATATCCTTTCCTCCTTTTTCTGGTCGACCACGCCAGTTGACCGCTAAATTCTCTCCTTTCGCTTCTCCTCATACTTCCTCCTCCCTTCCTACCTGACACCCAACCAACCCTTCCTTAGACGACAAGGTTCAAACACTCGCTCTCTATAGCTTTCTTTCTCTCCTAGAAATAAAAAATCTATATGGACTTCATACTTGATTTGCCAAAAATAACTAGAAAGTATGATTCGACCTTCGTGGCAATAGATTCATTTTCTAAGATGGCTCATTCCATA